AGTTCAGGAAGTTGGCCTAGTGGGTGCTCTGGCAGTACCTGAATAACAGAAACGAATCTCACCCAGTCTTAGCCTCTGAAAATTTATCCATAAATTATTTAACAGAAATTGATCGTTACATTATGATTTTACTAGCAACTCTTAGTTTTCAAAACAACGGATAACAACTTATCAATTGGGCAGGAAAAACAACCTGTAACTTCAAGCACTCCCACTGCCTATTGAAAGAAATCTACGTCAGCATCAACGACACGCTGCAACTGGGCCTTGCAAATCCGCAGAAGTGATAGGAGATAAATAATTTAAATTCAATGAAAGCTTCGAACTCTTCATTTTTAGAAGTTAATCTCGTAGTTTTGTCAAGTTTTTATTTAAAAAAATCCCATAATTTATATTTCAATTTAAAAACTCACATGAAATTTTAAAAATCTTTAAATCCTAGCAAGCTCAACTGAAATTATTATTAAGAATTTCCACGTACGACTGGAGAACTGCGGATTTCTGAGCTTAAAACGATTTAATTGCTAAGCTCTACACCTGAACGGCAACCCATCGCTTAAAGCAGACAAAACCATCCCAAGCAGAAAAGTGGATGTTACACACTCTACTATTAGACAACGCCGTTGTGTTTAAAGAAACAATGTTTATCCAATATATCAGTTACACTAGGAACAAACACATTTCAAAGTCAACCTTTTCAAGAGGAAATATAGACGAATATGTTCAGGTGTTTTATTTGTAGGAGTGCACTTTTAATCATCTTCATGCTGATGAATGATGACAAGTTTAATAGTTTAATAATAACGCTTGTGCTGTATAATCACCAGCGTGATGTATCTATAAAGACTATTTTTAATTTTTGATGCTTCCTGAATTAATTTCAAATATTCTAAGGCAAAACTTTCGGAAATCAACATATATTCAGTAAAATTCAACACTATGACACTGACTACACATAAAGGGCTATTTTCAAGGCATAAATGCCAACCAAATAAAGCAGTTGAACCAGTTGCATGCACTGTTATTTCGTAAGCTAATTTTTCAGTGTTGACTATCTCTCATGTTTACACTCATTATTTATGATCCCGTTAATACGATCTTGGATGACCTTGATCATCTTGGGATCTCTGCGAGAGGAGTAAAACGTTCATTCAGAACAAAATCAACCTTCCGTTGGAAGTTGCAACTTTCCCTCCCTAAAGCAACCTCTGAACCCAGAAACTTTTAAAGTTTCCACTGATTTTCAAAAGCTGATCAACAGTGTTTCTGATCAAGGAAGATCTTTCAGCATTTTACGGACTCTTAAATCGTTTGTAACTTTTCACAGCATCTGTAAGGCAATTTTCCGGGATTTCAATGGGCAGTTTACCTGTCCAGACGATAATATTTTGAACTGTTTTTCCGCACACATATCCCAAGTCATCTACTGGTTCTAATATCGGCCTTCCCATAAGCCCTAAACTTCAAGGCGGCAACAGCGTTTTTCGTTTGATACACAAGAACAGCTTGGATTCTAAATGAGTCAGGTTTATTGATTGAGAACTGTTTTTACTGGCAATGCGCCGACTCCCAAAAATACAAACTGCTGGTTTGCACCTTGCTTTAAATGAATTTCTTCAAAATCTTGTTTCATGAGAACTAGGTATATTTTGTTATCATGCAAGAACAAATAACATAAGGCTTTTGCGTCCCACACGGTTTCAACAAAATTAGAAGCCCATCCGTAGGAGGGCATGCGATTTTCGATTCACATATTTTGATTAATTCCCACAGTATTTGCTATATGATATGTGATATGATCCGGCTGTACAATTCAAAACTGTTAGCTCTTCCACTCTGTCTATTACAAATCCAGCTAAATGAGCCCAAAATACTTGCGGAGTTGCTTTTCTTGCTCGAAACTGCCAATTTTTTGTCAGAAAACCCCAACACCACCATGAGCCGTTTTGATCCACTGCTGGATGTAGAATTTTGCGAGGCACTGTCATAAGCCTTTGTTTTCTGTGATTTTCATCGATCTCGATTCAGGGAAATTTTACAGTCGTCCTGCCACAGATCTGATCTGGAAGCAGTTGACTGTCTTGGGCACCCACCCCAATGTCTCCTAATCGAGCGACAGTTGGTTCTTCTTACAAAATGACTTGGTTTTTGTCACCTCAAACTTTTCTGTTGCGCAATGACATGGCTGACTTTTGTCTGTCTTCTTACAAATTCGTTGTCTTTCCATTTTCCCCATTATTTCCAGAATACACAATTCTGTGACGTTGCATTGTATGAATAACTTTGTGGCATAGGCTACAGGTTATGCATTCGTACGTTGATACTAACAGGACATAATCATCGAAAATAATCCGTTTGAAGTACAGGACAATTTTCGGATTGGAACACTTTCGTTCTTCTCAAAGATGCTCGAAGCAATTTTACTCTTCTGTTAATTTCACAGAATCAGTTATCCACCGCTGATTTGAGCTGTTTCATCTTCAAGCATATTTCAAGTTTAATTCTAGTGACTTCAGGAGTGGCAGAGCCAAATACTTGCTTACATGATCTAAGTCATATATGGAAGGAGTCTGTTCCAGACTCCATTTGTCTTTTGCCGAAGTTCAGACTCTGGCACAGGATCGGGAACGCTGAAAGCTCTGTCTGACGGGTCTGCCTCCGCGACCCGAAAGGAGAAGCGGCGACGGAAGATGAAGATGATCTAAGTCTTCTTCATGTTGATTTTCAACCTGCTTTGATGATGCAGTCGTTCAGGCCTTGAATTACTTTTTGGCGTACGTTTTGTGACCTTGAGAGAATCACAATATCGTCTGCAAACCACAGGTGGACTGAACCGCAGCTGACGCACATTTATGCTCAGCCAGTGAATTTCTGAAAGTAGTCGTCTAGGACCGCTATGAATAACATGGAATAATTTGGCTACAGCCTGAGGCGTTCTCTGCGACTTTAAACTTATTTTTTCTATCGTAAAGCGTCACTCTACGAGCTGCATTCATGTACGTCAACGCGACTTAGTTCAAGTTAATTTCATTTTATTATGAATGACGTCATATGTGAAGCGACACATGGCATGGCATTCCTGTTATTTAGTACAAGCGAAAAGCGACTGCTAATGTTTTCAGTTTATGACGATTTACCTACATGTAGGATACAAAGTTATTATAATCGATTAATAAA